TACCGCCATTTCAATGCCATGTGGCACTATCTTGACACTTCCCACCGACTCTTTGCTGGTACTAAGCTCAAACTTCTGCATTGAGACTTGTTTTTCTATGAGCACATCAGCACTTTAAATGGAAACCAACTCCTTCAGAGAAGAGACGTACAAGAGGAATAGTTTGCGTGTGATTTTTTTTTTTAAAAAGAAAATTCTGCGTATTTGGAAGGCAAAGACAGAGAGGGAGAGGCAGAGGAAAAGGGAGAGAAAGAAAGAGGAAGAAGGTGAGGGGAGGAGAGCGGATAGCAGAGATCCAGCTCTCTGTGCTGGCACCTGATGCCTCCCACGGTGTACATCAGCAGGGAGTCGGACCTGGGAGTTTTCAATCCAGCCACTCTTATATAGAGAAGCAGGTGTCCCAACTGGAGTCTCTGGTCTGTCTGTCTGTCTGCCCTTCGTATAAACAAACCAAAACCAAAACAAAACATCCAGATAAACAGGAACTCAGGTGCCAGGCGATGCCTTTTGTTTCAGCAAACCTGTCACCTCCCTGCCTTTCAGCCTTCCCAGCTCGTGGAGGGTTTCTTTGGGAGGGGAGTGTTTCCTCCTGGTTTTCTCATCCACTTTGTGACTGATGCTCAAAAGCCTCCTGGGATTGTAAATGCCATTTCCGCCACCATGGCGGACTCGCAGGTCGTGATGGTCGTTCCCTGATTCCCCACTGCCCCCCACCCCACCCCACCTGCTCGCCATATCGCCTTGTCTCCCCAGGCACAGCCTGCAGTCTTTCCGCATCCATTGTGGTGCATGGTGGGCAGCCAATGGAGGTTTTGCGTGGCCTGGGGTAGCGAGCGGAGTGTTCAGAAAAGACAACACCTCCACCCACCTCCCCCATAACTGGCTTTCCCCAGGCTGCCAGCACTTGGCCTCTTATAGACACTTAATGAGCACACACAAGCAGGGCTGTTTGCTTTCTGATGCCAGTGGAATATTTTTAAACGAGGCAAGCAACACCACAGCTATAAATGCTCAGATTTGATGAGAAATGTGTGGCAGATTTGCACAATCCCTTCGGATCAGCTGGGGGTGCTTTCAGAGGCAGGGAGCAGTATGTGAGCCAAGGAGGCTCAGCAGCAGGGCCTTTTCTTTCTCACACACGGGACCTGGAGGTATGTGGCTGCTGACATTGAGTTAGGGGTCACCGATGCCAGGTGCCAGTGCCATCTGCCCAGCCCCCTCATGCTGAAAATGGCAGCGGCAACTACAGACATCACACCTGTGCAGCTGAAGTCAAGGAGGAAACATGGTGGCCTAGGATGGGGGCCCTCCCCACCCGCTCTCCTGTCTCTGACAAAGGTGGGGCACATTATCAGAGTCTTCTCTTCCTAGCTACCCCCCCATACCCCCAGCCCATCCCGTTTCATCCTGCTGGCTATAACTGGGTTAAAGTTCTACATCAGGGGCACTTTCTGAGACAATGCTGGGGTTGGTGTTCTTGAAGAGAGCAATGACTTTGGCTGCATGACCCAAATGTCAAGATTCTTATTTCTTTCTGTGGGACTCAGAATCCCTGAGTGCTCATCCTGATCCCATTACCATCTTGCTGTTGAGTAAATAGCGTACTGTTGTGGATACCTCAACTCAAGCTCCTCTTCTCACCTCCTCCGTGGGCCACATGGAAGGGATGCACAGGAGGTGAGCAAGTGAGAGTTCCATGTGGGAATTCTTAGTACCAGTGGCTACACAGCATAAGGCAGCTTTGATAAACAGGTACATTGGACCATTCTACAGGGGATCTTCCAGCTTAGGTGTGCTAAGTGTCCACAGGCTTGGCTAGCCAGCATCTTCTCTGATCTCAGACATGTGTCACAGATATAGATGCAGATATGGACAGAGTACAAGTGCAGTGATGGGCTACATATCCAGGGAAGTCTGCAGAGCAGATGGGGACTCCTCTGATGGGGAAGGCTCCTGAGACATTTGCCCCAGACCATGGGGGACCTGATCCTTGAGTGAGACTTAGACTTAGAGGTGTCTAGGCCACTCCACATCTCAATCAGAAGTGGTCGAGCTGGGGGCCAGTGTTGTGATACAGGTGGCATCCTGCATCAGAGCACTCATTAGAGTTCTGGATGTTTCACTTCTGATCAGACTGTCTGCTAATGCACCTGGGAAAGCAACAGAAGGTGGCCCAAGGTCTTGGGCTCCTGCTACCCATGTGGGAGACCTGGGTGGAGTTTTGAGCTTTTGGCTTTGGCCTGAATCGGCCCCAGTTGTTGCAGCCAAAGGATGGGAGATTTTTCTCTGTGTCTCTACCTTTCTCTGTCTGTCACTTTGCCTTTCCTGTCAATCACTCCATCAGTCTAAAAGGTTCAGAGGTCCTGGCTTCTGTCAGGGACTTAGGACTTGAACCAGTCAGTTTTACCCCGCTGCTGAGTGATGACTATCAAAGGAACCTCAGGAAACTGGAGTTGGAGTGGAACAGCAGGCAGGATTCCACATCGGCTCTGCATGTACGTCCGCTTTTTGGTGCCAAAGACAAGTCTCTCATCTATTCACGTGCTCTCCACTGGTGGGGGCAGGAGTCTCCCAAGCTTTGCAGGTGCCGCTGAGGACAAGGAGCTTGATAATTGAGGGCTCTGTCTGGCAAATGAATAACAGGCTCTGGTATTTCCCAGGGGAACTTAGAGTTAGGATGTTTCCCTGGCGAAAATGGAGCGGCATTTGCTTAGGACGTTGTCAAAAGCTCCATCTATTAGTCAACTTAACAGAATGGCTCTGAGACAAAATTGTGACTATCCTGCCTTAGGGAATCAGTACATCTGTGCTGGTGGTGGCCTCCCCCTCTTTTCTCTTCTCTTCCCAATCAAATTGTGCCAGATTAATTGCTGCAACAGAAAACCACTGGGAAAAGGGAAGAAAGAAACAACTCTTCTTCTTGCTCCCCTGTTCTTTTTCTCTTTTTTCTCCTCCTCCTTCTGTTCTTCCCTATCTTCTTCTTATTTTAAAATTTGTGATTTATTGGGCACCTATTATATGCCAGGTATAGTGTTCCGCATTTAGCTTATACACTTACCCAACTTCTCCAACAAGCCTATGAGGTCGATCCCACTGGTATTCTCATTCTGTGACTGAAATGTTGACTCAGAAGAAGACAAATCACAGGCACACAGTTAGAAAGTGTCAGAACAAGGATCATCTGCCTTAGGGACGCAGGTTGTTTTTAGTGTCTTAAAAATTGATGAGGTAGACTTGGCCTGTCCCCCAACACCAGGGCAGAGCCTTCACACGCCGCCTGATGACATCGCCACAGGTTATTTTAGCCTGAAAAATGTCCCTCACTGGCTGGCCAATGTGGACATTCTCAATAGACAATTCTAGGCAGCAACTTGAACACCTGAGTTTCAAAATTAAGGGTGTTTTAATTGCCTAGACTTCAGGAGAACAGGTTGGAGAAAAGAACAGTGCAACCAAAATGTCTGTTTTGGGAACGATGGCTCTCTGTTGAAGGGAAGTCGTGGTCTGAACTTGGTGGGGACAGCAGAGTATCTCAGAAGGGGAACAATAGATTAGTTTGTTTTGCAAAAGTAAATTGGGACACAACAGGGTAAATATTTACAATTACCTAAGGAAAGCAACCTGTTTGCAGGAATTTAAGACGCTTGGAAGATAGAGTGAGGTTGGGTATTCCCTGATGACTTCTCAGAAATACTCAGATACTTCAAACAGATCAACAAAAGCTAACTGTTGGGTTTGTGATCACCTGAAATGTCTGTTCAGTTCAGCAGATAAATAATATTTGTTTGTGAATCCCAGAAACTAACCTTGGGAAAGCCAGCTACAGTTGCCAAGTGACCTGTCCCTCCCTAGTCAGACTGATTGGAGGTTCAGATTTAACAGAAAGGAAAGGAGTATGGCTAGCTAAGGGTACTGTACACATAGACTCTAGGCTGAATGGGCTTCATCCTGATTAAGGAAACACTGACATCGCTTAACACAACACTTCACCTCTTTCATATCATGGCGGAAAACGCTGCTTGGGTACAGCAGAACACCCTGCTGTACCCTCCTCCTAATAAAGTCTGGCCAACAAACAAGTCTCCCCGGGAACGTATGTTGACTGAGCAGATGCCCTGTTATCAGGCCCACAGCTGGCGTCAGCAGCTGGCTCTCTACTCCTGACTTACCATTAGTTACTTAGTGGTCTTGAGACCTCTGGTCTGCTACCATCCTTGTCCTTTGATAGATTAGCCGTTTTCTTTATCCTCAAACCTTGGCTTTGTTTTTCTGATTTAGAGCACCATGAACAAGGGCCAGGCTTCCAGTAGTAATATTACAAAAAAACTATGTTGAATTTCAAAAAAAAATTTTTTCACCAAAGCAAAGCTGTTTTCAAATTCTGTTCCGTGAGAACTTCTATAAGTACCCTGGCAATGTCTAATGCCTGTTTCTGGTAACAATAGCACAGTCACATGGCTGAAACAGAGACAAAAACTCAGGAGCCTTGAGAAAAGAGATGAACCTGGGCCATCCAGGTGAGCCCGTTTGTCACAGGAGACCTAAAAAATGGAAGAGAAGGTGGTAAAGGGATCCTGTGTGGGAAGAAGAGGCGGGCAGATTCCCACTGTTGACCTGCCTTGGCTGACTTTGAAGATGGCAGAAGGGAGACACGAGCTAAGAAGAGCAGGCAGCCCTCCTCTCGGAGCCAGCAGAAAAACAAGGTCTGACAGGGTCAAGCAGCTTTGCTTCCTGAGCAAAGGGAATGGATGTTCCTCCAGAGTCCCCAGAAAGGAGCGCCGTCCTGCTGACCCCCTCCCTCACTTTAGGCAGGGAGACCCATATTTGCCTTCTGGGTGGGTAGTAGACCTGTGAGATGAACAATTTGTACTCTTTTACATGTTATTTTTAATAACATGTTAACACAGCACAAGAAAACTAGTAACGAACAGGATGGCAACACATTCCTCCTTTTTCCAGAGGATTCTGCTGCCTAGCAACTGATGTCATAAAAAAAAAAAGATTCTAGAAGAATAGGTCGTGAAGAAGGCCTTTCAGCTTAGAAGCTCTCAGGTGAAGGAAAACGGTTGATGAAGGAAGTGGTTTCTGGAAAGCCTCAGAAACTGCATTCTATAGAGCAACTTTCCTGCCCCAGAGAAGCTGCATCTGAGCTACTCTTCCTCTCCCCCCAGGAGAACCCCAAGGGCTTCCAGAAGGACAAGTGTGCGAGTATGTGGGTGTAGGGTGGGCAGAACCTGGAACAGATGTAACCATATGCAGCTGTGAGGGCGCTCAGCAAACCCCCCACTGCTCCTTCGGTGGCTGCATGGTAGGGAAGCACAGGTTTTATTGTTCACTCATGTATTCAGCAAAGATTCAGTGAACACTTACTGTGCCAGGTTGTGTTCCAAGGTCCTGGGAATAAAACAGAGAACAAGGCGGACTAGGTTTCTGCTCCCACTGGTGTGGGAGAGAGACAGTAAGCAAGTGAGCAAGTGAATGAACAAGGTCATGGTGGATGCTGACCTATGAAGAAAATAACCATTTCCTGTGATGAGGGCAGTAATCGAGGGGTCCTCCTTGAGTCCACTTGAGCTGAGAGTATGACAAGGAAGAGCGTGCTTTTATGGGGTGATTGGTGACTCCTGTTTCAGATAGGAGGGGGAGCTTTTGGGGGAGGGGGAATCATAAGTGTGCTCAAGTGAGAGTGCCTTGAGACAGGTGAAGGTGTAACAAGGAGTACAAGGTACGGAGTCGGACTGGAGCAGTACTCTGGGTCAGGAAAGATGTTGTCTACCAAGTTGAGGAGGTGGGATCCCATTTACAGCACAGACAATCCACCGTGAATGACATGAGGTGACCCATGCTTTTTTCTGTTTCTTTTTTGAAGGCTTTTCTAGCTACTATGTGGAAAATGGGTTTAGGGCACAAGCAAGGGATATGTAGTGAGGGTTAGGAAACTTCTGCATTGTTCGAGGATGGTGCTATGGCCTTGAATGGTGTCGGGAGAGCGTGCCAGCATGGAATGGGCTCGGGAAGAGCAGACAGGGCTGCCTGATGGAGGCCCCAGTGTGTGTTTTGTTTGATGAAGCCCAGGAAGCAGACATGACCTGAGAGGCATATTGGCTTTTTTTGGAGACGTAAACATGGAATTTTCTTGCACGGATTGAAATGTAGCAATTAAGGGCATGGGTACAGACAGAGCTCAGAAAAACTGTCCATGGGAGAATCTTGTGCTTCATGTACTCAATTCATTTTGTTCTTCAGATAAAATTAGGCGAGTTCTATTTATATGCTCCATCTTCTAGTTCATTCCCTCAGCTGTTCCCAGCAGTTGAGATTGGGCTCGGCTGAAGTCAGCACCCTAGAACTCAACCCAGGTCTCCCAGGCGGGTGGCAGGGCTTAAGTACTCGAGTCATAATCTGCTGCTTCTTAGGGCATATATTAACAGGAAGATGGGTTGGGAGCTGAGCTGGGACTCAAACCCAGAGACTCAGAGTTGGGACACGGGCATCCCAAACAGGGCCTTCGCTGTGGTGCCAAGTGCCTGCCCTGACATTTGTTATAAGGAAAACAAAGTAGAAGGACCATGATGTCAAGGGACTCATTTGCTGTGGCTCAAGGGGAAGGCCAGGGCTGGATCTGACCTTGGCTTCTGACATGGACAGCAAGGAAGAATTCACTGGGGTTCAGTTTGCAGAAAATTAGGGGACATGACACTATGAAGAGTAAAGAGCCCAGTTAGGGATCTATTCCAGAGTCAGCGGCGGCGGCAAGGGGACTCATTCAGTCTGACTGCTGTGACTGGGCTCCGCTGGAGGGACCTAGATGAATGTCTTCTTCCTCTTCATCGTTTTCTCCAATGTATTTACTGAGTACATTCTACTTTCCACAATAAAGCGGGGAGAAAGGGCTTATATCTCTGTATCTAATGTCTATGAGAAAGGAGGGAGATACAGATCAAGAAACCAGTGGATTTTGCTAGAAGGGAAAAGAATTGAGTAAGGGCACCTTCAAGAGAGCAGTTCCCTTCGAAAGTAGGAGGTGGAGATGGGGAGGAGAGGAGGAGTTTCAGGTACCGCCCGGGAGTTGTTGTGACTTGAAGCAGAGCTATGGGATGGGAAGAAGAATCAGGGTTAAGCCAGGTGACACTGCCGTTGCTTGTGACACACTGCGTTGCTCACCTCCAGCCATACCAGGTGCTTTCCTTCCCACAGAGCCCCTAGTCCCTGTGATCTTGGAAGGAGTCCTCAGTGGCTCTGCCCACTCACTGGCCACACTTGCCCTGAGTTGGCACGAACCTGTGGACCATGAAGATGTCTCTGGTGCTCTATTTTCTTGGCTTCCTGGTGGCGCCAAGTGCCGCTTACGTCTTGGGCCGTTGCACAGTGGCAAAGAAGCTCCGGGAGGGAGGCCTGAATTATTTTGAGGGCTACAGCCTTGAGAACTGTGAGTAGCAGCCCACCTCTCCTGCAACTCTTCCTCCCCCTGCCACCCTCCCCTCCCCCCTCTCCCAGTCAGCTCCAACTCCAGCTCTCCATGGAGTCACACAACTTCCCATTCCATCTTAGGGGTGTGCCTGGCTTACTTTGAGAGCAAATTCAATCCCACGGCTGTCTATGAGAACTCACCTGGTGGCTACACAGGCTTTGGCCTCTTTCAGATTCGCAACGATGCCTGGTGTGACCACGGCAAGAACCTCTGTCACATGTCATGCTCTGGTAGGTCCCTTCCTTCTGAGCCATGTTGGGGCACCGGCACCTGATGGCCACAGGTGTACATGTTTGGAGGGAGAGGAGGAAGTCCTGGCAGGGGCTGGCCTGAGCTGTATTTAACATGTGGTTCTGGGGAGCAGGGACTGTTTGTGAGGACTGGCACACCTTCCCCGTGGCAGGAAGGGTGGGGAACAGAAATAGCACATGCGTTGAGGGCACACAGAGTCTTGGTTCTACCTTCTTGCAAGTTGTTTGATTTGAACTTCAACTTTTTTTCTTTAAGTATTTTATTTATTTGAAAGGCAGAGAGAGAGAAAGGAGAGGAAGAGAGAGGGACTTTTCCATCTGCTGGTTCATTCTCCAGATGGAGGCAGTGGCCAGTGCTGGGCCAGGCCAAAGCCAGTAGCCAGGCAGGTCTTCCATGTGGATGCAAGGCCCAAGTGCTTGGACCATCCTCCACTACGTTTCCAGGCCTATTAATAGGGAACTAGAGCTGAAGTGAAGCAATCAGAACCCAAACTGGTGACCATATGGGATGCTGGCATTTTGGCCAGCAGCTTTATCCACAGTGCCACAATGCCAACCCCTTCAGCCTCAGTTTTCTTATTTGCAAAATGGAGATAATAATAGTGCCCACACTTCCCAGGCTTCATTACAGGGTATGTAATATGCCGAGCAGTGTCTGGTGTTCTGCTTGGTGCTTAAGAAATACCACTAGCCTTGGTTTAAAGCATTTTCAAGAGAAAGAGGGTGTGTGTTTAGATCAGTTTGTATAACTCTGTTAGCTTTCCACCACTGTAATGAAATACCAGAGGAAACTATGTGTAAACAGGAAAAGTATCTTTGAATCATAATTTTGAAAGCTGAAAGCCCAAGATTTCATGGCCCCACAGAATGGCCTCTGATGAGGGCAGATGATAATGGCAGGAGCTTCTGTGGGCACAATGGGTTACATTGGCAGTGGGTAGCAGACAGAGACAGGGAGAGGCTGGGGACCCACAGTTCTCTTCATGGGCCTGGCCCCAGAGACCCAAGGCTCCAGCTCTGAGTGGCTCCGTCATGTCTCAATACCACCATTTTGCAGAAAGACCTCTATCACACATGACAGCCACAGCAGTAACAAATAAGTACTGGATCACTTTATTCAGAGTAGAGGAGCTCGTGTCTTGCATGAAGTGGTCAGTGGCAGATTCAGATTGGGAGAGGGGCAAGGGCAAGGTTCAGGAAGAGGAGCTGCTTGCGCTCTGTCAGCAGTGGGCGTCACAAGTGGGGTAGACACCAGCTCTGTCCCCTACATGGTACAGTCCTGCCAGAAGGCGGTGGGAAGTAAGGTTACAGGAGTGGGAAGACATATTGAGACATGACTGGCTTTTAGCCAAAGTTGTAAAATTCTGTTTTACAGGAATTCTAAAGGTCCTTGGAAATAGCAATTTAAGGAAAACAATGTGACTAGATGAGGGGAAGAGGAGATCCTTGTGTGGGTAGGAAGGGGTGGAGGATGCCATAGGAAATCCACCTGAGAGGTCTTGGTTTCCACATTTCGGGGAAGGAATGGAAAGTCGCATGTGTAGTGTAGATGTGGTTCCTCATTTGTACTCCTGTGCTGTTCCCCGTGCTGCTCCCCTCCCTGTGTCTGGCTCAGTTTTCCTCAGTTGCCTGTCTTTGTCTACTCCCTCACATCTCACTTGGTCCAGTACCCTTTCAAGTCTGGAGTAGGTGCTCCCATCAAGTGCTCGCTCGCAGAGTTGCATTCTCCCATCCTTGCAGGTGTCCATTGTGTTGTGAGTGTCCACGCAGCTCTGCTGCCTTCCAGACTGCTGGGTCTCAGCTCTGCCATTAGATCCTCCGCTGCATCTTAACATTGCCTAGCACAGAAGAGTCACACACACACACACACACACACACACACACACACACACACACACACAATTAATGGGATGATTTTGATAAGAATTCCTCACACAAAAAGAGATAACTACACCTTGTTGCCTGTTAACGTTGTCTGAGAAAAATCTAGGCCCAGATCCTTATGGAATCCTGCTAGTCATGAAGACTCAGACCCCTAACCCCCATCCCTACCCTGCCACCAGCATCTCTCTGACTCAGCCCAGTGGTGTGGTTGATGGTTTTGTTTTATTTTCTCCACAGAGGCCCTGAATCCGAATTTAAAGAAGACAATTGAATGTGTCAAGATAATTGTCAAAGGAAAGGAAGGGATGGGAGCATGGTAAGTGATCATCTTCATGTTGCTTGTGTTCATGACCCCTTTGGCTTCGGTCTTAATCTTGGTCTCTGTGTCTGCAATCGCTGACTCACAGGCTCCGACTGCCAAGGTCGAGATGCAGAGCGCCACTGAGTTCTGCAGTCTCTAGGCTGCAGAGCAAAGGAGGCTGCTTGAGCGTGATGCCTTTTTTTATTTCACAGTCTTATAACCTGTTAGGATGAACATCCTTGTGACATATCTCTGTATATGTCTCTGAATATTTGAAGTGTTTTGAATACTTCTAAGGTTCCTGATGCATATTGTGGAATAATTCTCTTGCAAGTTGGTGCTGATATCTGTTTCTGTAAAGTCAGCAAAATGCCTGTTCACTAACCCGTCCCCAATCACAAAACCATCACCATTTGAAAAGGAGTTCTGGTCTTCTTTCGCCTTTTATGATCAATCCCATGTTTGGTATATATTGATATTCTTTTATGATTTTTTTTCCTGTGTCTCTGTCCTTTGCCTGTTTTTCTGTTCAAGTCATCACACTGGTTTGAAAGAGCCCATTGGTAAATAATAACTGTTACCTGTTTATTGCAAAAAATAACTGCAACTCTGATACCCTCTTTAATCAGATCTGTGCTTAAAAAGCCCCCAGTTCGCAAGTTACTGGGCTTGTTTGTGTTGTTTTGTATAACAGTGATCCAGTCTTTCTCACTCTTGGACGTATCCAACATTATCCCATTTTATTTATTCATTCCTCTGTTGGTGGGCATCTGGGTAATTTCTGTGTTTTTGGTACTGTCATGGTCAGCCTCTGCTTACCTTTCGTAATTATATAAACAGATTTTCTTTGGTAATGCCAAGAAGTAACACTGGTGGACAGCAGATGTTTTCAGATCATTGTTACAGTGTGCTAAACAGCTTCTAAGATGTTCCAAGCCCGTTTCTCTTTCCACTAGAAGTTACGGGTCTCAGCTAATTCCCTATTCTCACCAGTGCATTCTGGGTTCTAGTTTATGGCTGTGTAGTGGTATTATGGTTTTACTTGGCACTTTTCTGATAAATAATGAGATTGAATACTTTTTCAAATACTCGTAGGCCATTTGGATGGCTTTTCCCATGAAGCGATGAGAAATTTTGGAGATCTTCCTCTTGTGTTTTTCATATAAATTTAAAGGAGCTATTTAGATAGTCAGGATAACAGTTTTTGTTGGGTCTGTGTGCCAGCATAAATAGCTCCTTTCGATATGGGTTTTTTTTTTTTGTCTTTTTCAGGGTGCCTTGATAATGGAAGTCCTTAATCCAAATGCAGTCGAGTTTATTGTTACTTTCCCAATATAGTTTTTCAAAAACAAATATTTGCCTATTCATAGTTGCTAATCATATTCTCCTTGTTTTCTAAAGGCTATCCTGTCTTACCTTTCACCTTTGCTCTGTCATATCTGGTTTTTTTTTTTTTTTTTTGCTTTTCTTGCTTTCTTGCTTTGTTGGAAATTGCCAGTAAATTTTGAAGACAAGTGATGATAGTGGCATCCTTGTCTCAGTCCCACACTAATGTGTGAGAAGTTGAATTCTTTATCATGACGTAGGATATTTTCTGAGATAATCAGATTGGTTACTCCTTTCCATTTCCAGTTGAGTCAAAGTTTTTTATTTTTCAGTCATAAGTGTAAATTGAATTTGGGTTGTTGCGTTTTTAGTTTCTTTGCAATTTGTTAGCATATCCACCTTCATTTAAAAATAAAAAACTTGGATCATCTGTTTCCAGCCATTTTGGTGGTAGCCGAGGGTGTCAGTTTTGTGACATCATTTCTGACTCTGCAATATGCTACTTTCAGAAGACTCCGTGCCTTCTCCTTGGAAGGTTTCTTCCTGGCTATTGTATTAGTGTCATCCTCTTTTCCCTCCCTTCCCCAGGTTCTGTAATTTCCAAATAGATTTTTTTTTTAATGACTTCTTTTCTTCAAATATTTATCCGGAGATAGATTGGTGTGAACATCTCTTGTCTTGATTTCCAATCTAGAGATTGTGCTGATCCCAGCATCTGGTTCTTTCTGAGTCAACAGAACACGTGGAAACCTTTCTTGGCTTGTGCGGTTGCCACCCCCTTGTACACGTCTATTATGGCAGTCTATGATATGCAGTGGGCACTGTTCCACCACCAACTGCCACCTTTTCCTGACTTTTTCTTCCTGTTCCATATCTCATCGTCACCAGCCTGGTAGCTTCTGGATATTGTCACCTCCAGTTGCATTTAAAAACACTGTATTTCCTTCCTTTCTCATGTTTTCATATCCCTAAAAACAGAGTTTATCTTGCAATTCATGTATCATCATCCCGAAGTTATTACATCATGGATGCATCTAACAACACAAAACATCATCTTACAATAGAGGGAATCTTCTGATAGTAGCTACAGTGCCTTGGCTGTCTTAGTATGTAGTATTTGTATGTTTCCATCCCCAGTGTTTAATCCTCAGAAATCCCTCTGTAGTCCTTTACGAAATGTCCTTATAAAACAAGGAAGCTGAAGCAGAAAGATTGACCAAACTGTGGACACAGTGGTAGGCTCACTCCCTGATCTATACTTTTCTAAGCCTCAGCTTTCCTTGGGGTCCTCAAGGAGATTGATGTCCGTGGGTACTGGAGGCCAGTCCTGTGGTCAGGTAGAGGACAGCTAGAGGACGGCAGCTCAGACACCCTCGGGTCTAGACTTAGTGTCTCTAAGAAGGGTCAGACATGCACATGAACTCATTTCCCTAGGGGAAGCTGCCACGCTGCCCCCTCAGCCTGAGGCCTGGGTGCTGTAGGTGGGGCAACTTTTGCCAGAGCTTGGCCGTGGAGGGTGTTTGTCTCAGAAGACAGGCCTCATCATTGCTGCTTTTGAAAGGTGTTTCATCCCCCTGTATCGTCAAGGTATTTTGGAAGTAAATTCAGTCAGAAGATTTGGTTTATTTTCCTTGCTTTTATAGCTCTGGCTGGGCACCTGCTAAGTATTGAAAGCCATAGACTTCTATTGTGGGGGGAGCCACTGCTCAGATGCTGCTTACCACATTTCATTTGTAAAAGTATTGATTGTTGTTATTAAAAATGAAAATTAAATTTTGAATGTCTTACACATTTGTTCTCTAACCCTAACCCTAATCCTTCTTCTGCATGTCTTCATAAATATCTTAAAGAACCCTTATATGCCCCTTGCTTTTTCGTGTGTGCTAACAGAATGGGAGGGTCTTGGCTTGGCACCACCTGAGGGTCCCTGCCATGCTGGGATGTCTGGACAGCTCCTCAGTGCCTGCTGGATGTAGGTGACCTGCTGACAAGCATTTGGGCTATTCCCATTAATTTCGCCTTTGCTGCTCTGTTTCAGAAAATTGTACCCTAAGCATCTTTCCTTTGGAGCATTTGCATTCTTTCAAGTGTATCTTTCTGTTTGTCACATTTTAGAGTTGGAGTCACTGCTGAGTTACCACTCAGAGAAAGATCCTTAGCTCATTTTTTTCTTGGGATGATAATGCTTTGTTCTCATTGATTTTCTGTGTTCTTGGTTTATCAGGCCTTTGTCCATCCTGTCTGTGCTATTGATATTTTGACTTTGCCTGAGTGTCTCTATCCTACAAAAGTTGTTCAGTTTCACAAAATCCGATCCTCTCAATCTTTTGTTCTGTGGCTTCTGGTTTTTTATATGGAATATTCTTTGTAGAACATTTTTCCATACTCCAAGATTATAAATAATTGGGCCATGTTTTCCTCTGTATTAAAACAGTGCTGGCACAAAAATAAACCTTGCACTTCATCTCTGTTAAATACATTTAAAACTGGGTATTTGTGAAATCATGTTTTCATGCTTAAGATTGATTTTTTTTTTCTTGCGATTTGTTCTAATATAAAAAGTAAGGGTAGGAAACCGAGTTTTAGATTTCCCAGATGACCAGTTGTGGGTCTCAAGTGCCACTTCACTGACCTGTTCTTCATGATCCATTTTCTGATCTAATAGACTGCATGCGAGAGTACAAGCCCCTCTAATAAGGTGAACTGTCTTCTGAGTGCTCGAAATACCTTTCACACATGGCTTCAGCTTTCCAATTAATTTGAAAGTTTGGCTGACCCTCCAAGATAAATGCTAATGAGCCAGAATCATCTCCATTGGACACCACTCCATGAAGTGGTGCTGGGATGGGCTGGTCAAGGCTCTCTTCATTGCTCAGGTTCTCAGAGTCTGAGAAATGACCTTTTATTCAGCAAATAGGCAGTCCTGTCATATCCATGCTCAGACCAGGGGCTCTGTAGGCCTGGGACAGACAGAAGGGGAGTAAGTCAAGACCCTACCTGCACCCAGGAACCTTTCTGCACCTAGGAACCTTTCTGCCAGGTTTGTCCAAGGGCTACAGAGGGCTTTGGGCTTTCTGTGTGGGCTGCATGGAAACAACCCCTTCTATTGCTTTGGGGTTCTCTTTGTGGGAGACCCAGCGAGGCCTGCTCAGCTGATGGATGAAACCAGTTTAGCAAGATTTCCAATGGCCTGCAGCTGGGCTCCTGACCCCTGGACCCCCGGACTGCAGATGGGTCCAGAAGGGCAGGGGGAGCGGGTTCCCACACAGGTCCCAGGGACTGTGTTGTCACTTCTAAGGGCACCAGGAGGAAAATTTAGAGAAGCTTAGTCTACCCTAGACCTCTGTGGGTGTTCAGGGGGGTCTCCAGGAATTTGGGGAGGCAAGGAGTGTCACAGACGATGCAAAGGTGAAAGGGCCCAGACCCAGGGCTCTGATTTCAGGTTGAGAGCTCACCAAGGGCTCTCCATGCAGTTCTGGACAAAGTCACAGAACTTCTAGGAACCCCTCACCCACTTTCACAAGAACTAATGGTATGGCCTTTCCGGGTTGAGGGAGATGTTCATGATCCATGATCCTCTGAGCAGGGCACGGTAATGGGTGAGGCAAGGGGTAATGTGGGCACAAAGCAGAGGGTGTAGCGGAGACAGTTGCACCAAAGTGTGCAAGAGCTTTGAGTATGGGAGTCCCTGGGCTCTGACTTCCAGCAGTCCCCTCTCATCCATCCTCTCTCCTCGGCCTTCCTCCCGGCAGGCCTAATTGGTCCCGGAACTGCCAGCTCTCTGACACTCTGGGACGCTGGCTGGACGGTTGCAAGATGTAGCCCCAGTGGTCCCACAACGCTCACCAGTAGCTTCCTGGGCATGGAGATGCTGTTCCGTTTGCTGCCTCACCAGTTCCCGTTGATGATCTTACCTCCTGACAACTCCAGATGGGGAAAGACCAAAGTTTGTTTCATCCAGGGATACAGGATGCAGAATAAACCAAGTTGTTATGCAACCTGGGCCAAAGGTCCCCACCTGTGTCATTGTTATGAGTGTCATTATGACCACGAATACTTACCATTATCTGGCTTTATTATGGCTTAATCTCCAATGGAGGATTTGAAGGAAGGAGATGATCTGGAAAAAGAGATGTGTCTGTGAATATTAAGTAAGGGAGAGGAATAAAAGATAGGAGGAGGAGGAGATCCCAGCACCCACAGGTCCTCCTGGGCTCAGGTGTGCCCGGGCTGGGAAGCTCAGGTGGAAGTGAGGAGACTTCGGAACCTCTTTGCATGCTCCAAGTTACTCTTGATCTTTTTACCAAAAGTTAAGTTTCTAAAGATTAAAGTAACACACAGGAGGGTACTTCAAATGTCCATGGAAAATGGAATTACAAGAGAAGTTCATGTCACTAAAAAGCATTGAAATCCATACGTTATTGTTTCATAGCACGAATTTTCTATGCCTGCTTTGAAGATCCCTTATACTCTTCATAGTGAAAAATGTTAAAGCTTTTTGAATTTTAAAATTTGATAGTTTTCAACATTTCCATCTTCACTTCATATGTGCATATTGAATACAGACATATATACTGGGTTTTCTTGAATTAAGGGTTATTAATATCACAAAATGTGTGGTACATGACAATCATGTAGTGAGGGAAGAAAAATATACTGTCACATGTATTGTAAAATTCAGTTACGATTTTAACTATATGTAAGAATTGTTTGACATCTATATGATTTTTTATACCGCATATATATATATATACACACATATACATATGTTTGTACTTCCATATGTAAGGGGAAACATGAATATTTGTTTTTCTGGGTCTGCTTTATTTCATTTAGCATAATAATGTCTAGTTTTATTGAAAATTTCAAAATTTTGTTCTTTATTATGGTTAAATAATCTTTCATCATATATATGTATATGATTTGCATATGATATATGTCCATGTGTGTGAATATATATATTTTTCAAGCCAAAACAAATTTATTTTAGCTCAATGGCTTTTAGTTTTCTTGCTCAGAATGGAATGGCAGATGTCAGATGAGCTTCTTGGACATACCTGAGAGCTCATAGCAGCCTCTGAGAAGTCTGTCTGAAGCCAGGCCACCTGTGAGACCCAGGTCATGATGGGGTTTGGAAAATGTGTCTCCTTAAGCTGTCAGCCCTTGTACAGGAAGCAAAGACCTGAAGTGACATCCAGAGAGCCTCATCATGGTGTTACACATACCTGAAATGAAATTATGGTGCTGGTTAATACTGTGCTGTGTGGGTCGTAATATTTTATTCAACTCTCCTCTTAACAGTTAGACTGTGTGTATTTTTTCACTTTGTAAACCATTCCAAAGTGAGCTATAGTGTCTTTTTTTGCTCCCTTTCATTTTTACATTTTAAAAATTCATAGTGTATTTTTAATGAAGAAAATTAATAGATAATCATAAAGAGAGAATTAAAATTTTCCATCATCTCTCCACTGGGAAGAGACATCTTTATCCTTATTAGGCAGCTGAAGAAACTTTGGCTTTGAGATAAGTAGTAAACTTTCTGTGTGTAACCCCTACTCCATTAGCGTGTGTGTATGTGGGGGGCAGGGGGAAAGGCACACACACATTTCCCTTTCCTTACAAACACCAAGTACTGTTAAATATACAGTTTGGTAGTCCAACATTTGCAGATTTATAGGAATTCCATTTTTACCAGTTGCCCGGTATCCCCTTAGTCAGACAGGCTATAATGTCTATAACCTTTTGTTGTTACACTTACTCATCCAGAGAAAAAATCTGCAGGTGAACTGTGGTCACCTTAAAGGCAAGCAGACTTAAAACAAGTCAGCCCTGCTCTTGGTCGGACGCCTGGCCTTGTATAGAAAGAGGAAGTAAGAAGTCAGAATTTCTCGGGCAACACTACAAGATCAGGAGCGATGGATGAGCTTGAGCAAATGGTTTTGTATCGCTTTCTCTCCCTCTCTCTTGGAGACAAGGACCTTTCGCTCTTTCCCAACCATGTGGCGTGAATCATACAATAAAATTGCTGCTGTCAGTGGCATTTGCTATCGGGATCCATGAGAAGCATCAGAGATTTTGAGAGCTCCTTCTTGATTGAGCAGGGGTCCCCTCCATCTGTTTCCTAGGGTGGACCCAAGGGTGATAATGTGTGTGACCTCTACCCACCCTTAACCCAGACATTATAGTGACAACCTGTAATTGATTAAAACACTATCTGTTCAAGCGCCCAGCCCAGTGGGCTGCTGCCTCCTTCCAGCCCATTACTTCTCCTGTGGCTCATCGTCCTCTAATGGCCATTTATGTCAACATGGGCGGGAGGCTGGAGGACAAAGCAGATGTTAGGGTATTGATTGGAATGGCCTCTGTAGGGCTTCCCAGGATCAGCTCTTGGCTTGATGCCCTCAGACCCAATGGACACTCCCTCTGGGCCTTTTTTTTTTTTTTTTTTAAGATTTATTTATTTTTATTGGAAAGGAAGATTTTACAGAGAGAAGGAGATACAGAGAGAAACAATTTCCATCCTCTGCTTCACTCTCCAACTGGCTGCAATGGCCAAAGCTGAGCCAATCTGAAGCCAGGATCAGGAGCTTTTTTTGGGTCTTCCATGCAGATACAGAGTCCAAAGGGCTTGGGCCATCTTCTGCTTTCCCAGGTCACAGGCAGGGAGCTGAAAGGGAAGTGGAGCATCTGGGACAAGAACTGATGCCCATATATGATCCTGGTGCTTGAAGGGGAAGGATTAGCGAATTGAGTCAGTTGTACCCATCCGCCTGATTTATATAATGATCAAAGCTAGATTAGGAAATCTCGATAACAACAAATCCTGTTATTACTTCTATGAACAGCAGTTACCCTATTAATTCAGTTTTATAAATATTATAAGTAGATATTTATAAGTGATATATAACCTTACAAAATGTTACAATTAGGTAAGAATTATAATTATACAGGGGCACATCAGCAAACTCCTGGAAAGTGAAATTAAAGCATACTGTGTCTTTTCCACTGATTTTTCAAGATTCCTTTATAGTATAGTGTAGTGTTTGATAAGACATTGGTAGTAACTTTTCTGTCCCTTCCATCAGCTGTACAATGGAGTCTATGGCTTATTTTAAAAATAAAAATGTGTTTACTCACTTTACAGGAAGAGTGGCTGAAAGAGAGAAAGGAACAGGCAGAGAAACAGAAAGAGGGATCCTCTGTCTGCTGTCTCACTCCTGAAATGGCTGCAGCAGCTGGGGATGGTCCAGGCTGAAGCAGGAAACTGGAAGTTGACTTGCATCTCCCACATGGGTTTCAGGGGCCTAAGTGCTTGGCCCATCCTCCATGGCCTTCTCAGGGACTTTTAGCAGGAAGCTGGATTAGAAGTGGAGTGTTGAAGGACAGCCCACCAAAAATCAGATCACGATGCCTGAGGACTCTAAGCAGACTTCCTGCTGGGATTGCAGATAAGCCTTGATAGCTGGAGAGGTGTGAGGCATCTTCACCATCTCCCCCTTCCTTTAATGGCTTGAACATATGAGTACATACAAAATTCTGTTAGATTCCTTTTTTAGTTAGATCTGTTTGTTTACTGGTGTTTATTCCTGTAACCCATGTTTACTTATCCAGCAGCTCAGAGGCTGGTGATTGTTCCCCTAATCCCTTGTAGAAGCAGTTTGTGTGCTATTGTTAACTTGTAACTTTTACCAGCCTGCTTCCTTTGCAAAAAAACCTGGCATAAATCCCCCAGAAAAATTCAATAGAATGTGCATTGGTTCATCTCATCTTTGCATCCCCCGTATCCCAAAGTTCTCAATGCGGACATCACACCTCGAGTCCCAATCCCCACTAGAGAGACCCCCAAGAGTGGAGCAGTTGTTACTTGAGCTGGCACTCTAATATGGGATGCAGATTTTTTTTTTTTATTAAGATGTTGCGCTGAAAAAGTGTTAGGCAATAGCTGCTGGACAGTGGGTCATTGTCACTGTCATTGTTATGGTACCCAGTGTAAAGGCTGGGAAACTGAGCGATCTTTCCTAACTGTACAGAAGAAGTCGACAGAGACAGGTATTCATCTAGCAATCAAGATGCCTGCCAATATGGGAGTGAACTAGAGAATGGGAGCTCTCTTTGCTTTCCTCTCTAAAGAGTATGCAGGGGATGATTCATCCTGCTACAAAAGCAACTCACTGACTCACTGTTTTTTTAGTGAATACTTTCCAGCAGGTCTCTGGGGCCCCATGCTATGATCCTAGATCTTTCTAGAAGTCCCATGGAATTTAGTGCTAGAAAAAAATGGGTGAAAGAGCTCAAGGATCAAAAGTTGGTCCTTTCTAGGGTCTATCATGAGAGCTGTGGTGCAAGGAGCCAGGAGGTTGCTTCTGCGTCTGGGATGCCTGGAACTTGCAGATAACTGCTGGCAACTTCCAGAACTGGGCATGGGGAAGCTGCAGTCTGCAGCAGGAACCCTGGCTGTGAGGTCTAGGCCTGCACTTTTTTTTTTTTTTTTTTTTGATGTACACCAGTAATCATCCTTCTGCTGCCTCAGTCTTTCCCACCAGTCTCACTGGTGATGTTTAGGCTTCTGGACTCCCTTTGGTATGGGTACCCAGCCCTCAACCCACAGTAACACTCCCTTAGTTAGTAAGGGATTTGTTTACTTACAAAGACACAGAAAAGACTCTGCAAACTCTAAGGGAGGCCTGACTTCATTTGATTTGTTAAGTTCTGAGTATAGTGAAAAACACTAAAGTTAAAGCAATCTAATTATTTATTTGAATTATTAATTTTCCATTAAGTTATGTAAGTCCATACCATCAAGAGCAAAAATAGGTTTTGCTATGAAGATCACCAACTTCCCCTCTCTCACCTCACTCCCAGAAAGACACATGTTCAGTTCTTCCAAAAGGTGATGCTTTTGGCATTTATTTCCAATTCTCTGAAGAATATGCTCTGATTCATCTAGATTTGTGTGCAATTGGGGGTTGTCTTACAGCAGGAAGATGGAGACTTAATTGTCTTTTGCCCTTTGCCACTTCACACAGGTGTACCCCATCCTTAAATATGATCCAGTTGTAAGTTGAGTTCTGTCAGTGTTTGGCCATGAAGATGGTTTCATTTTTAAAGATTTATTTATTTGGAATTCAGAGTGACACAGAGAGAAACAGAAGCAGAGCAAGAGAAAGAGAGAGAAGGAGAGAGAGAAAGATCTATCATCCATTAGTTACTCCACAGATAGCTACAATAGTTGGGGTCAGGCCAGACCAGGTGAAGCCAACAGCAAGAAGCTGTTGGGGCTACATCCAGCTCTTGTACACGGGTGGCAGAGACCCAGGAACATGGGCCATCTTCCACTGCTTTCCCTGGTATATTAGCCGAGAGCTGGAACAGCTGGAATTTGAACTGTTATCTTGTATGGAATGTGAGTGTCACAGCTGATGG